TTAATGTCATTGTAAGGGGTTAGCATTTTCGTACTCATAGCCTAGAATAGCTTTATCACTCTTGTTTCTTGTATTAATCACTATTCTGACGTACCGATCAGGAAGTTTACTGTGTAATCATCTAATTACTTAATACAAGTGGGCTTTTGAGCATTCGATGATTCATCTTTTATATTTCTTTATACACTTGATTTTTGACCCATTTTCCTGATATATCCAAAGTTCATGTTGGGTTTTCGGATGTGCGGAACTAAACCTCAACAGAGTGTTTTTTCAAAATAATGCTAAATAAAAAATTATTTACGAAATTGGAGTTGAGTTAAAACTATTTACGAAAATACTACTTGAATAAACCCTAGTTAATGAAAGCCGCCAAATGGTTTCGCGATTATGGCTACGCCTGGTTAGTCGCGCAAGAAGCAAGCTACACTGCTCCGTACATACGAGTATGGAGATTATTAGTTAGCCAACAGGAACTCATCCAAAATTAAAAAATCCTTCTTCTTTTTTAAATTGTTGTAACTTTTATATTCATAATCCAATTTTCATAAAAGTTATATCAAAATTTATAATTTTTTATTATCTTTTATATGGCATCAATATTCGATATATAAAAAATAAAATATTTTTGAAGATACGATGAGTAAATATTTTTTAGGCTACAAACTTTTTTAAGTAGATCTATGTTCTAAAATTAAGATCTCGTAATTTTTAGAGCACATTTGATAAATTGACTAAATCGGCTACTTAGGTTGAAATTTATGAAATTCTGATTGAAGTGGCTGGACTGACTGACTGAAATTTTGTAGATCTATAAAAAATTATATTTACAATAATTTTTATTAATAAGATAAATAAAAAATTATATGAAGAAATAGTCATTATCTTTTTTTAATGAGTTATTATCTTTCATATGATACCCATATTATATTTTTTAAATTGTTATAAAAATATTTATTTATTTATAAGTTGATTTATATAAAAAGTATATCAAAATTCATACGAAGTATTTTTTATACGAAGTATTACCTTTCATATGACACGAATATTAAATACATAAAAATATAAATAAATATAATCTGAAAAATACGATGTGTGGAAGGTTTTACGCTCATTGTTTTTTTATAAAATAGATCTATGCTCTAAAATCAAGATCACATAATTATATAGCTCAATTTCATGTTATAATTAGGGATTTTTTTGGATACTAAGAGCTTGTTTGATGATCTTATTTTTCGCTTTATCAACTACCTTTTTCATCAAACACGTAACTTTTGATTTGAGTGTTGAGTTGTGTAATAATAAGAAAAAGTAAGATTGAAGTTACTTTATTGACTGTATTGGCTGAAATCACTACAGAGAACCATTGTAACTATTTCTTCATGTAATTATTTTTATCTTATTAATAAAAATATCTTACATATAATTTTTTTATAATCAGCATAATTAGTCAATCTAGCAATTTCAATAAGATTTTCTTAAATTTCAACAGAATCAATCAATTCAATCAATTTCAGCGTTTTCAAACGGGCTCTAAAAAATTACGAGATCTTAATTTTAGAACATAGATCTACTTAAAAATGTTTGTAGTCTAAAACACATCTACTCATCGTTACTTCAAAATTATTTTAATTTTTATATATCGAATATTGGTGTCATATGAAAGATAATAAAAAATTTTAAAATTGGATATAATTTTTATGAAAATCGGATTGTAAATATAAAAGTTACAACAATTTTTTAATTTTGGATGAGTTACTATTGGCTATCTCATAATCAGTACTCCTTAGGTAGCATTGTTGCTTGTTGTGGGACTAACTAGCGGAAGCCAAAATACCCAAACCATTTGGCCGCTTTCATTAACTAGGGTTTATTTTGTTAAGTAGTTGAACCCAATCCTAATTTCATAAATAATTTTTTATTTGGCATTATTTTGAAAAAAAAACTCATGACTAAATATGTTTTATTTTCAAGATAGCATGTATTTCATCATAAGAGAAGAATAAAATACTCAAAACTTTCAAAATAGAAGTGAATGAGTCTTATTTTTTGAAATAAAACATTGATTAATATACTTATATAATAAAATGACCCAGTGACCCAGTGACCCACTAACAATGAGATAAGAGAAATGGTGTGGTTCCTAAGAAAAGTAAGTTTATATGATTAATATTGAATTGATAAATTAAGAATAAAACAAAAATGATTTATAACCAAACAAATTTTACAAAATTTAATATATGACAATTTCAGTGGGATAGATCGAAAAAGAAATATGAGACAGTTTTAGCATCACATATAAAGTATAAGAGATTTTTATCTAACTTCTTAGAGCATCTCCAATGAGGATGTCTATTCTCTTACACACTCTTACACATGGTCCCATTTTCTCTCTCATAAATTTTATCTATTGGAACTACGGAGTACATATCTTCATATTTATTTTAATTTTCATTTTTTTATATTACTTCTAACCCACTTTTCATCTATTTTTGCTTCTCGATTCTCGTGTAAAGTCTCTTTGTGGACATTGTCATAGACATTGTCTACAATTTACCTCTATCTCTCTCTTCAATTTCATCATTTTTCATACACATCACTTTCTCTATATTAAATTAAAATAATCATTCTATCTTTATCTCTCTCCTATGTCATGTAGGATAGACTATACTCCAATCCATTACTCCATCGGAGATGCTCTTATATTCCTCGATTTTTACATGCGATGTATTTATTCCAAATCTTATCCAACCCATATTAATGCAAAAACGTATTAACATTTTAAAGTATGTAAATGAGTATTATGTTTTTATTTTTTAAATAAGAATAATTATAATCATTTTTAGAGCATTTGAATTGTAAGTTAGTCAATTTTTTACTCCCTCCGTCCCATAGAATAGTTCTCGCATTGACTTGGATCGGAATTTAAGAAAGTGGGAATAAAGTGATCAAATATATTCTACTTTATTATACTCAAATTTCAATCATAACTTAATTTTACTTTTTCAATAACTTTGTAAATAATTGTGCAAAATACAAATGAACATATATTCTCTCTGTCCCCCTATAATTGTTCCATTTTTTCATTTTTGGATATCCCTTTACTATTGTGTCATACCATATTTAGTAACATTTGTGTGACTCTAATTCATTCTTACTTTATTTCCACTTTATCGACTCATTACCAACCACATGATTCAATTTTTCTTAAAAACCACACAACTCCGTTCTGTATCAATATTAGGGGGACGGAGGCAGTACTACGTAAAATGGAAGGGAGGTGGTATGAATCACATGTAAATACACTACCGACTACAATTGTTTCTGTGTACAAGGAAACAAAATAGTTAGACTACAAAGAAGGCATGATGAGGTCGCCAATTGGGTAAATTTTACCTGTTTGAAAGGGCAAGCAGTTAGCATAGCTGGTGCATGCTTTTAGATTTTTCTCATCTCAATTCAAAGACAGGTCTTATCAATCATCTTCGATCGTCTATGACATGACTATGCCTGAGATGCATCAACTCACTGCACCCGACCACCTCCATCATCATACCTAATCTAACATAATAGCTAGGTATAATGCTCACTCACATTTACCATTCTCAGCTCTTTCTGTTAATAATTTCTTGCTTTGAAATTTTGAACTGTGTTCATTTTATGAATCTACTATTGTTCCAAAAAAGTGTAATCTCCCACCCCAGGAGCCCCCACCCCGACCCGACAGGATGGTGGGGAGGTTAGTCACGGTGACTCAATCAGCAGAATGGCAGTAGGCTCATACACCCGTGCGCACCAGAGGCCCAACCTTATTTCAGGTTTTGTGACCTTCACCCGATCGCTGCGGAGATTCGAACCTTGGTCCATTGTTCCAAATCTCCCACCACTCGACCAACTGAGCTACCCGTGCGGGTTTATGAATCTACTATTATTTCACTAGAACTCGCTACTACTAATAATCTCACAACAATTTTGCATTGCGTGTATACATTTAAAACACATTTGCACGTAAATGTTTGTGTATTCATACTCCCTACCTCCGTAATAACTTTGTCAAGTTTAACCGTCACAGGGATTAATAAAGTAAAAACTGTGTGGTTGAGATTTGTGCAGAGAAAAGAGAATTAACTGGAACCACGAATTCTTTACTTAAAATCAAAAGTAACAAAATTAATGGGACATCCAAAAAAGGAAAGTTGGCAAAGTTATAAGGGACGTAGGGAGTATATTTTTTGCACAAGCTTCTTGTGTAGACATGTAATTGAGTATACACATTGTTTATATGGATAGATAATTATGTACAAATGTGTGTCAAGGGTGTAGAAATTCCATATACAAATACTGTATAAGTTTTCATAATCCTAAATATATACGTAGTACTAAGTAAAACATTAATATGCACCTCCTAATATACAAAGTGACTCAGTGCGTATTTGCAATATGTTGTGCTTTAAAAAGTGATTTTGGAAAAAATGTTTAATAGTAAAAGTTGGTAGTGTTTACGAAAAAATGATGGGAAAAGTACGGACAACCTACCTGTGGTTGAGGTCATTTGCGGAGAGGTCATGAGTTTCACTTTTTACCAAACTAATATTTGTGGTTCACTTCCGTTAGCGTCACAGGGGCCTCAGCCCATTTCTGTTACGAAATAATGACGTGGCCCGTTAAATATCCAAAAATGACTGCCGCGTGGGGGAATTTTATCCACGTCAGAATCAAATTTGAATTAGCTGGTTATATCAGTTAAGTGCGGTTTATAGAACATCAAACGACAAATTAGGGCGCGGTTTGTGTGCGGAAGGAAGAATAAGCTCACTCAAAAATTCTTACAGCTACTCTTCAGGTAAGTTGAATACTCACGAAACTTACTTCACCGTTGTCGTTATACATAGGTTAAAGGGAGTAGTATTTGGGTTTCTTTATTGTGTGTGGCGTGGTTAAAGTTAGGGATGAAGTTAGTTTGTTGAAGTTTTAGTTGTGATTGTTTTTGTGATTTTTTGTAGAGGCTGGGAATGGACGATGAGCACGTCAACTCACGAAACTTACTTCACCGGTGCAGGACATGTTGGTTTGTAAGATCATGGACCCACACATTGATGTGTATTTTAAAAGGGGGGATTTATCAAAAGGCCCCTCCAAACCTTCTAATTCCAAAAATGCAGCTCAGACTTCTTTAGCTACCCAAACTGTTGAGACAACCCAACTTCAGAGGAACTTCAGTCCATTGCCTATCCAAACTTCAGAGGAAGCCCACACTACATTGCCTACCCGAGGTCCACCAATATCCCACACTCCACCAATTACCCAATCTCAAGATCCAACTGATCCAGCCCCTACAATTTTAGGAATCCAATTTGTTGAGGATAGTGAGACAGATTCAGATTATTAGTGCTCAACCCCTGTGACTGATAGCTCTTCAATTCACCACTCTGATTCCAACCATCTATGGTAATTGAACTACTTGCTTTTGATGTAGTCTGTGTAACTTAACAGCAATTCTAACTCATTTGTTGACTGCTTGCAGATTGCTAATGCTGGAAACTTTGAGGTTTGAGGAAGATAGAGAACAACTATTAGGTGGCAGAAGGATTAGAATACAAGTGTCATGATAATATGTTCATTGTGATGATGTAATTGTAATAGCCTATAGGGTTGATTTTGCCTACTATTGACACATTTCGTTAAGTTTATGGTTAATGTAATTGTAAAAGCCCATTGGGTTGTTTTTGCCTACTATTGACACATTTGGTTAAGTGTATGGTTATGGCTATGCTTTTGCTTTTCCTCAGTTTTGCTTTTGCTTTGCTTTTGCTTTTCCAGTAAGTCTACAAGGTCATTGGTATTCTTCACTAAAAGTTTCTCAATTCATAAGTGAACCCAACCAAATACATGAAACCCATGTTACTAAACGCAACCAAATACTTTACCATAAAAATGGCCATAATTGACACATACTTCAACCGAAGTCAGTTCATAACAATTGGCCATACTTCACACATACCTCAACTAACAAAACAAAAAAATACACAAAGTTTTCATTCAGTCATTACATCAAACACCTAGCAACATTGTAAGCCTACAATAATTTTGTAGCCATAATTATAGCAACAATACCCAACAACCAAATCATCTTCATCTTCAAACTGAAATCGTCAGTCTTAGCAATCGCCAGTAGGATTTCGCCATTTTGTTTCTTCAACTCAGCAATCCCACGCAAGCAAGAGTTAATTTGAGTCTGGAATTCCAACTTATTCACTTTAAAAGCTTCCTCGACGCTTGCAATCTTGTCAAACAGACATTCAATGGTGTCATGGGCATTCCGCAAGCGCTATCATCAACCCACTCAAAAAAATTACATTTTTCAGCCCCACCTGCAAAATATCGACCGCAACCATGAAATTTTTTGCCTTTGTTCTTCTCTGTAGTTGCTGTCCAGATTGGAGCTTGGATACCACAGTCGCACCTCGTAATCCATTCACTTTGTCCGTCCGTCCTCCTGGTGTTTGCACTGGAGTTGGATTTTGAATAACTCATTCTTACGCAAACCTCCAGCCCTGTCGTTCCTCTGTTTAAACCTACTGCCTAAACATATTAAATGAGTGAAGTCAATGGTTTTTAATGACCTGGCATTACCACAGCCCACGCGGAACCAATTGGATGATAAACATCTCCACGTCAGCCTTTATTAACGGCCAATGGGATGAGGCCCCTGTGGCGCTAACGGAAGTGAACCACGAATATTAGTTTGGTAAAAAGTGAAACTCATGACCCTCTCCGCAAATGGCCTCAACCACAGGTAGGTTGTCCGTACTTTTCCCAAAAATGATTTTGAAAAGTAAAAATTGGTATGTATATGTTTATTTCAAACTTTTGTAAAACGTAGCCTAGCAGAAGAACCTAGCAGGTCTAGGGTTAGCTTTGGTACGCGAGGTCTCCTTCAGCGTAATTTTGACGGGAAACTTCGACGGCATATCGGCCTGGGAAAGGCAACGGGTCTACATCAGTGGGAGTCAATCACTTTGGCCACAACAAACATGAGAGACGATTTGGCAACAAGGGCTCTGTTTTACCGGGCTCGAGACGGGCTGAAAACGGGGAACTCCTTCATCCCCTCGTCCGAGCAGTATTCGGGGAGTTCCTTCGATCTGGTTGGGGTTGTTCAAAGGTTGTACGGAGAAGCAAGAAGGTTCATCGACGCGAACTCGTAGATCCCAAGAAGCCATGGGACTTGTTAATTGATTCAGAGGTGGTCGTGGACTTGGGTCGACTAGGGTTGCGAGGCCTGATTGTCCGATGTTGGGTTTGGTCATTTTGGGTTTGTTGGTGATTGAGATGAAAGCTGCACCAGTTGTGTTTGATCCGGGTGGAACACGGGTGGTTGGGGGTCCAGTGGAAGGGGTGAATTTGGGCTCCAGTCGGGTGTTGGGGGATGGACGTGTTTGTTTTGGCCGCCTCATGTGGTGGAGGAAGAAGATGGTAGGTGCATGATTCGGCCTTCTCCTGATCCTCCGCCACAACGGAACTACGTGACTAGGGTCCGTAAGGCGATGATTGAAGAATGGATTCCGCTGTTCCACCGACTGAAGTTTATTTATTTTTAATATGTTCTGTTTGCTCATCGATCTTTATTTTGTTTTTATTAGGTCAAACAATAAGGGTAGTAAGTTCTTAATTTGGTTTATCTTAGTTGCTAGATTTCTGTTGAGAGGCAATCAGGTTGATTCAGCCATTAATAGCCTCAAAGCTCTCACATTTTCAGCGATTAGTATCGCTCTTTTTGGGGTGGACTACTCTATATCTGGCGTAGAAGTGAGAGGGCCGATAGATTTATGGTTATGTTTGTTTAGAGGAAGGTTAGGGTCGGATGTTTACTGTATTGTTTGCAATTCTTCTGGTTGTACTGCGAGTTTTGATTTAATACTCCGAATAATATGCCAGTTTCCTGTCAAAAAAAGAAAAAATTAGTAGTGTTTGGGTAATTAGTGTGTAATTTAAGTAGAAGTTGTCACTTGAAAACACTCTTTTTAACTTTTTAAGCCAAAAGTGGAGAAACGCTTTTTTAAGCCTTTCCAAACATTACCTCATTATAAGTTATTTCAACAATTGTAATTGCAAACTTTTCAATCATGCACATTTGTTTTAGACATGCAAGCAATTTTGCAAAGTTTAAGTGCATTTTAGGGCCGTTTGATAATTGATAAATCATATTTTGACTATAGCACTTTTTTCATTCAACATTTTTATCAAACATATTTTTATCAAACGTATTGAATATAATTGCTTGTGTATTCCATTAAGTTCAAAGGCTTATATACAAGAGTACCACGGTTACAAACGTAAAGTTAGGCTATGAATACAAAACTGGTTAGCTATAATTAAAGGACAAACATTAGGCTAATGATGAGACTAGATAAACACTTAACAAATGATGGTCCCTATTTCTGAGATGATAATCTAACAGCAACAACAATATAATAGAAGCAGAGAATCACAGAATAATTTAAGAATATTTGAACGATGAACTCCCTCTTCCTTATATCGTAAAAGCCTTACAAAATGATATGTGCGTTAATGTGCGTAGAGGCTTATCAAGACTTAGGGTTTTCTTAAGTTAGCATCCTTTTATATATAAGGATGTCTAACTTAAGCCTTACAAGATGGCTAATGGTCTGAAATACATTTGTGACTCATATTACACATCTAAATAATAACTACACAAATACAAAGATATTTAATTAGATTGGACACCATAAAATATTCCCAACAATCTCCCCCTTGGTGTTCAATCGTGTTCAATCAGCATTGGAGCGCATATATCTTTGTCTTTGTGTTGAGCTCGACTTCTGAGTTGAGGAAGGTTTTCTGAAGAAATCCTTGCAATCTCCCCTTTGATGTCTTCTTGGCAATTTGATCTTTGATGATGGGGGTTGAGGAATCTTGAAACTCTTGCTTGTAGTACTTGCCTACCAGAAATAGCTCTTGATCAGTTTCAATGAAGTCCGAAGGCGCTTCTAGAAATGAATGTTGTGATGATTTTCAGGCGCATCTTCAGCACACGAGTATCTGACCTTTGTCTCCTCCACAATGTAGTCCTTTTGAGTATTTGAGGTGAATGCTTTTGAGGAGACCTTGTCGGTGGCACAGCGGAATGAGATGGTTGGCTTGTGAGCGTAGCTGTCCATTTGAAGTGAATCTGACTTGGTAGTCTTGATGATTTGAGAAGTAGAGAGTTGTCATTGATTTTTTTGTGGTGGAGGAAGTGTCCGAGAATGATTTTTGAGTAAACAACATGCGTACCACTCTCCCCCTCATTATGATCCGATGAATCGAGGCATCATGCCTTTAGTTATTCTTATATTTCGGGAAACAAAACATAAAAACAAATAGAAATGTAAAATAATAAAAATCGGATACACTGAGGTGTTCCGTTATCACAACATCAATGTAAACACTGATGTGTGGCCTGTAAAAATGATAGAAGCATTAAAGCTCTATCAGGACTTCCAACCAGTCATTGTGAAGCATCTAAAGTAGATGTCACTCTGGTTGTTATGGCATGATAGGATCATAAAGATCAGCAAAGATAACGTAGCCCCCGGGGTCGTGTAGTCGCCCATTATCATCACTATAGAGATAAACTTAGAAGCGATGGCCTGAACATGTTGGTGATTTCTGTGTTTCAACAGCAGGACTTCCTTCCAATCAATTGTCTTCATCTATAGTAGATGAGCCCTGTGGATGGTCTCACGGGTCATGAAGACCTGCAACTGACTTTAAAAAGTGTCTGTGTCCTAGAAAATTCAAAACATTTGGGAGTGAGATTACTAGACACAATGTGATTAGTGAATGTTTAGTGGCATGGGGATGTGGGCCACTGTAGTCAGTATCAGTCGCCTCAGAAGGAGACGGTGATAAGAGATGAGGTTCCCGTGAAATATGATTAAACATGTGTCTGTTGGGAGACAAGTGATTGGTCTTGGGTAGGGTTGTGCATGCACCGTTTGGACAAAATTCAGCGACTTCTACCCGAGATCTGAATAAATTTAGTCCTGAACCTATGGGGATTGTCCAGAGTATTTGAGTGACAGAGAGTAATTTTCTCGATTGATAGCATAATAGAGGTAGCAGATTTGACAATGATTATTGTTCTCTTGCTCAATTGAGTTTTCTGCTTCCTCACTCTCATAATGTTCACTCAGTTACTCACTCACTCTCGGCTTTGTCCCTTGGGTAGGCTAAGTTGGGTTTACTAAGCCATTGAGACTTATCTCTCATTTCTCTTTGCTCTTTTGTTTTCTCTCTGTACTCCCCCTCAACTGGAGCACTTAGTAGGATGCCTTTGACGATGATTGGCGCTTGGAGGAGAACTTTGAAAGCGCCCCCTCAAAATTTGCATCCTTGAGAGAATCCTTGCATTTTACATTATCTAGCAACAGGAGGAGAAAAATATAATTCCCCCTCAAAAGTTACAAGTTGTGTTGTTTGTTACCCTGAGAGTAAAGTAGAAAACTCCCCCTTGGAATGTGATTTGTTCATTGTTTGGCACCAGGAGGATAGAAAAAGAAACACCCCCCTCAGAATATGCACTCGTTGTTTGTTCTTGGCACGTGATGGTGTTGAGGTGTGCATTTGATGACTTTCAGCTCATTCGGGAGTACGCGCCAGTATTCCCTTTCATAATGTGCACCAGTTGATTGCTCACAACTCGTCTTCATACTTGCCATGTGTATGGAGCAATCGATTCAGTTACCACACATGACGGACCTTGCGGAACAGATTAAATAT